AGTGATTGAAGCCACCCTTGCTTGTGTTCATGGCTAATCTAATAAAGTGTGTTCCTCCATCTTAAGATTTAGCATGTCTGTCGAGTGTCAAGGGTCGACTGGTGCACATCATGCAATGTCTTACTGTTTTCTCCATCTTGAACGCATCCAACGCCACTCCTTATTATATGTTAAATTCAATAATTAATATGACAAAACCTTCAAATTCACCCCTCAAGTAGAGGTAAGGATAAATTTATTCCTTAAAAAATGCAAAGATAAATTATCTTTCTAAATTATAAATCAAAAATCACTCATTTTGTAACGGATTTTGTTTGTCACGTAAGTATTTTTTAATGAAAAATTGATGTCACACGTTAAAAAATAGGTGATTTATCTTGATTTATAATTTGGAGATGATAATTTGTCCTTACATTTTTTTAGGGGTGAATTTATCCTTACCTCCTATTTGAGGGGTAAATTTGAGGGTTTTGCCTAATTAATATTTCATGTTCATTATATATAATAAAAAAAATGAGTGGTAAACATTTTAATTCAACATATTTTTTAATATTTATATGATTCAACTACTAAAATGTGATATAAATATGGTTGATTTAATTAAATACGTTGCCGTATCTCTAAGTTTGTATGATTTTAATTTCATATTATAAAATAACAATTTTTTAATAAATATATTGTACAATATGTTAAACCAGATAGTGTATCAATTAGGCGAAATGATACAAAATTACACACTTCGTTACATACTGATAGTTTTCTTTATTTGTGCCATTAAAACTAATGGTTTTAATTATTTGTGCTATTAAAATTGATAGTTTTCATTATTTATATCATTAAAATTGATAATTTCTGTTATACATTGATGATTTCTATCAATGTATAACAGAATGTATAATTTTGCAGAATGTATGTATCATTGTCCATCAATTAGTGTCTATATACAATATAACCACGTATTTATATAGGAAAATGCTTTGTGCACCCCTTGGTTCAACACCCGGGGGTGTACACTTTACATAACCAAATAATTTTAAGAATAAAATTACAAATTTAACCTTAAAAGTTATCTTCCTCTCAATACTCCTTTTTCTTCTTGTCTCTCCATCTTCCTCAACCCTTTCCGTTTGGTGTTTAGCTGCCGAACTCTTCTCCTTCCCCGAAACCAGATCTGCTTCACCATTTTATTTATTTATTTATTTTTTTTGGGGCTGCTTGGCAATGACGATGATGATGGTGGTGATGGTGACAATGGTGATGGAAAACAGAGGGATCTATGGTTCTGCCCCTCTCCTTCTATTTCGGTGGTGATTAAGGATGGTGATGGAGGTGGAGGTTGTGATGATGATGAGATGCAAGGAGATGGTCTAGATCTACAGAAGGGAGAAGAATTGAGAGAGAAAAAGAGGTGGGTTCTCGAAGAACCCAAGTCTAAGTTCTCCGAGAACTCAGACTGAAAGAGAGAAAAAAAAAAGGGTCTGGGTTCTTGGAGAACCCAGAGGAGAACTTGATCTGGGTTCTCTCGAGAACTCGGGAGAAAAAAAAAATGGTAAATTTATAATTTTACTTTTAAAATTATTTGGTTATGTAGAATGTGCACTCTTGAGTGCTGAACAGGGGTGTGCATGAATCATAATCCATTTATATATGTATATATATAAGTAAGAATTCACTTACATACTAAATCTTATATACCACACTTATACAAAATTTTAACCATTCATTTTTTCACTTTTAATAGTTAAGATTTATTCAAATTTATTAAAGATAATAATCTTTTTCATTTAAAAAATTGTAATAAATCTCAATTATTGAAAGTGGTAAGATAAATAATTAAAATTTTATATGAATATAATGTATAAAATTTATAAATAAATAAACCCCTCGTGTGTGTATATTAATTTAAGTGACATCAATAATTAGTTTTGACACCACATATTAATTTTACGTCTCTGTTTCAATTAAAGTTAAATTAATTTTCATACAAAATTTAAAAATATAGGGTTAGAGTTCTATTTATATTTTAAATCAACAACTTAATTCTGATTCATTAAAAAAAAAGGGCAATCAACAAATTAACTGGAGAAGTGGCCCTCTATCCAACTAGTCTACCCCTTGTCCCCTTGGTCTAGCTTAGATAATTAATGCATAATAAATTAATTAATTACAAACTTGCGAAAAAATATGCTAGGTTTTGGCTAATCAGTTTGAGAAGGAACATACGGCTTCAGATGGGTTCCTACATGTGTCCCTTGCGCGGCTATATGAAGGTAAAATGATATATATATATATTACATTTTTCTCCATTTCCCCCCTAGCCAATAAACATCTAATTCTACATCGAAGGATCACTATCAAGTATCAACAACATAAAGCAATCAATTTTTCACTTTGTTTCACGGATTATATATAGTAGGACATAAGTGGAAATGATCAAGTTATAATATATATGGGTAGCCAATCAAATATAAACATGGCTAAATATTAGAGTTAAGGTGCGTTTGATATTGCAGTTGGAGTTTTTACATATAGCCATATAACGTTTTTAGATAAATGTGTGTTTGGTAATTTCTTTTTAGACTGTTTTTTCTAAAAACTGCAAAAAATTATAGTAGACCTACAATTATTTTATATATAAAGTCAAAAACCTCATTTTAAAATTTTTTTGCTGTAACTTTTATAAAAAAAATACCTAATATTTAATATAATTGTAAAATTATTCATTAAAATCCAATTTCGTAAAATTTAATTATATCATAATTTATAATATTTTAATAATGATAACAAATTTAAAAAACTTAAATTATTAAAAAAGTAAATATTATCTATTTTAATAATTATATATTTTACAATATTTTTTAAATTTTAATTGATAATTAATAAAATTTATCATATTTTATTCATAATACTTTTAAAAAATAAATAACCAAATACTAATATAACTTTCAGTCAAAATTACAGTACAATACAGCATAATTTAGTACAGCCACAGTTACAACCACAACACTTCACATCAATACCAAACGCACTCTTAATCTTCTAACTTTAGCATAATAAATATGAAATATTGTCATAATCTTTCAAAATCACTAACTATAATCTACCGTTCGTTACTCCATGTAAATCTTTAATAGAAGTTTTAGTTGGAATTTTATGGGACCCAGTCAAATCCCATAAAAGTTCATGGCCGCACTTTATAGTTTCTACAATTGATTCATAAAATAGGGATTATGTTAATTAGAAGAAAAAATTGAAACATAGATTTGGAGTTGCAATTGATTAAAAAAAATCAAAAATGTTATTTTTGGTATTAAACCTCTCGATATCCAAAAATTACATTGATTTCTCACTAATCTAAAATTGAACTGGCTTAAACCTAAGAAGAGAGAAACTCTGTTAATACCTATCTTCACGTTTATAATATTCAAACTTAAGACCTTATTTTAGAGAAACTAAACTCCTTTCACTCATTTTAATAGATTGTTGGTGAAAATATTATAGTTATAATACTGCATGATATGTCGTTATATAATTAGTTTTTTTATTTGGGTGTTTATTACATGTATATGCTCATTTAATACAACATCATATTCATTTAATATCACATAGGATTGTAATGATAATTTTATTACAATCTTACATGATAACTTATAATTTTACATAATATTATAACTATAGTATTACTAAAAAAAAATCTCTCAAATTTAGGGTTTGGCAAGCTTTTTCCTATTTTAACTTCTAAAGGGTCCCCATGGGTTCTACAAACGCTGAACTTACGGTGCCCTCACTTCCTCAACAGAGCGTTGCCATTGGGCCACAGAGTGATGTACATCTAAATCATTTACTTTGATAAGATTCTTATCAATTTACATGAATAAAGTGTGTCATATAGTTTTTTGTTTCATCTCTATTGTTAAAAATGGAAAATAATAATAATAATAACAACGTATAAACGTTTTCCACAATTTTCTCATATCTTTATGTAGTTTCTACCAAGAACCCTGGTAGAAACTTTGAAGCAGCTAGATCTTTTCCCACCAAAGAAGGATTTTATATCATCGAATTTAGATAATTTAAAGATATTAATTAATACATATTTTAATTCAACACAATACATAATATATTTATTAAAAATATATTATCTTTATTTAAAATTTAAAATAAATAAATTTAAAAATATAATTAAATATATAAAATATATAAATTAGTTAAATTAATTATATTTATATT